AGGGAGGGGTGAGCGTACATTGCAACGGGTTGCCTGCAGGCGAGAAGGACGCCTCGGACGCCAGGTGGCCGCTGACCCAGGCCATGGACACATAGACACATCATGGATTCATGTGGGCGGGGCGCTGGTTGCCTTACCTGACTGTGGTGGCACTGCTCTTGGTGTAGGACGACTGTGTGGTGGGGGTCGTCTGCAGATATGCCACACACACACACACACACACATACACGCTTCTCTCGTCGCGTGTGTGTGTGTGTGCAGGTGCAGGTGTAGGTGCCTGTCTGTCTGTGTCTGTCTGTCTGTCTGCCTGTCTGTCTGTGTGCGTACATTGTCGGTGTTCTGTCTGCGTGCGGACTTGGTCGTCCAGTGAAACAAACCCGTTGCCTGCACTCACGCCCACGTACACACATCACATTGATGATGGATGCCTAGAATGAACGATTGAATGAAAACACGATGCCGCACCCCACCCACCGCCTCTCTCCATCCTCTCCATATGGGCGGCCTCGTCGCGCCCCTCTCCCTGCACACACACGCCTCACTCAGTCATCTTCTAGGCAGGCAGAGTGTGTGGATGGCGCGTACTTGTCGGGCGCCACATCTTTGGAGGCCACCATGAGGTCTTTGACGACGTCCTGCCCGACCGCCATCTCCATCGGTGTCAGCGACTGATAAATCAACACACACCACACACGGCAGAGCAGAGCAGAGCAGAGCAGAGCAGAGCAGGTGAGCCAGGGACAGCCACAGCCATCCATCCATTCGTTCCTTCATTGATTCACTGATCACTCGTCGTCAGTCACCTGTATGCTCTCCTCGCCCCACTCAGTGGGGATGGGCAGCTCGGGCGACTTAACGCCGCCGCTGCCGCAGCCGTACTCGCCTCCTGTGCACACGCCCCACAGGTACCCACCAAAGAGACCCTCCGACGGACCGTGACGACTTGTGGGCGTGGGTAGGGTACCTGCTGCTGTCGTGGCGCGCTCGTCCTCGCCCAAGACGCTGATGCGCCCGTTGCTTGCGTGGCGCCCATTGTCACTGTGCTCATCCATTTTCTGACAGATCCCACACACACACGCGCGGAGAGAAACAGACAGACAGAGAGGCGGAATGAATGCAGTGGCAGTTGATGTCATCCATCACTCATACACGTGTCATCTGTGGTGCGATGGACGTGGGACGGTGTGGGCAGGGCATCGCCCCCATCCTGCCGCACATCGCGGCGTGTCCCACACACCGATCATGCAGATCATGTGCAGTGACTCACCTGTCGTGGTCAGCAGTGCGCTGCTTCTGCTTGGATCTCTGTCAGCTCAACATTGCGCTCAATGCATCGCACTCGCGAACCCCAAACGCCGAGCCTTCCGCAAGCTCAGGCTCGCGACGTGGCGAAAGAGAAAGAGTGAAACCGCTGCGGCGAAAGAGAAAGAGAAAGAGGCAAAGGAGAATGGCGGCGGCAGCTGCGGCCCCTGCTGGTGGTGGAGGAGGTGTTGGATCTGGTGGTGGGATGGAGCATGTGGAGGATCTGCTGGACGGCGAGGACGACATCCAGGAGGAGGAAGACGCCGAGAAATTCAGCTGGGAGAAGGTGCGGACGAACGAATGGATGAGATGTGTGAATGAATGAAGCAGTGAATGAGTCAGATGCGCAAAAAGACGAAGTGTGTGTGTGTGTGTGTGTCATCAGGACTATGAGAAGTCCTGGGAGAACGTGCAGGTCAGGTTTGTTGGCGACTGAACGACCTTACACACAGCAAGCCATGGACACACCATCACAATCACACACAGGAGCACCCGTGTGTGTGTGTGTGTGTGTGTGCAGGTGAGCGGCGGCATCCTGTTGGGCACCGGCGCCGGGCAGGAGGATGGTACACACACACACACACACACACACACACACGACAATCAATGGGTGCTGGTTCAAACGCGCCACGCGCCACTGTGTTCACAGGAGCCGGCCAGAGGGCCGCAACGGTCGGCGGTCCGCGAGCACGAGTCAGGAAAGGCATGATCAGGTAGGTGAGGTGTCCACGCATAATCCTTGATGCGATTGATTTGCTGAATGTGTGAATGTGTGTGTGTGTGTGTTTAGGAACATGGTGCTGGTGCTGGACATGTCGTTGTCGATGCGCGACCTGGACTTCCGGCCAGACCGCATCAACTGCGCCATCCAGAAGTGCTCTGTAGGCCTGGCATGCAGTGCACGAACCCACACACACTCACTCATACACAAAGGAGTGTTGACTGACTGACTGACTGGTCTGAGCGTGTGTTGTGTGTTGCACTCACTCGTCCACTCACTCGTCCACTCACTACTCACTGCCTGTCTGTTTGTTTGTGTGTTTGTGTGTTTGTTCGGTCACCCATGCAGTCGTTCATCCGTGAGTACTACAGCCAGAACCCCATCTCGCAGATGGCTATCGTCACGCTCCGCAACCGGCGGGCCGACCTGCTCGTCCCCATGACCTCAAACCCCGCCGAACAGGTGCAGTGCACGTCTGACCAACACACACACACACACACACACACACATCTATACGTGTGGACGTGTGTGTGTTGTGTTGGTCAGATTCACCAATTGGAGCTGGTGAAGGAGCAGCAAGGCTTGGAGGGCTACCCGTCGCTGCAAACCGGGCTGGAGGTGAGCACAGCACAGCACAGCCGCCAACACGTGACTGACGTGCTCTAGCCCGGCCACATCACATGCATACACCAACGAACGAACGAACGGCACACGTAGACGAGACGGTGTTTGTGTGCAGCGGTGTTTGCGGCTCCTGTCGGTGATCCCGCCCTACGGCACGCGGGAGGTCCTCATCGTCTATGGCAGCCTCAACACCTGCGACGCCGGGTAGGGTAGGTAGGGTACGGTACGCGCCATCCATCCATGCGACACAGCACAGCCATCCATGTAGACGTGCACGTGCAGGTTGATATCGACCACCGTTGAGGCGCTCAAGGCGGCGGGCATTCGCGTGTCGATCGTCGGACTCTCGCCAGAGATGTATGTCCTCAAGGTGAGTGAATGAGTCAGTAGCTGGTGGGGTGGGGTGGGTGTCGTCGACACACGCACTCGGTGGACGCGCTGACTGACCATTGATTGATGCGTTGATGCATACAGACGGTGTGCAAGGAGACCGGGGGCGAGTACACCGTGGCGCTGTCGACTGCCCATTTCGAGGAGCTCCTGCTGGCGCACGTCAGCCCGCCCCTCTGGGCGAAGGGTACGTGGGCTTGAGTGGATGTGTGTGGTAGACCTCTCTCTCTCTCTCTCTGTGTGTGTGTGTGTGTGTGTGTGTGTAGGGATGCAGCAGACGCTTGTGCCGATGGGCTTTCCGACGTTGCAGAGGCGGAAGGAGCCAATGATGTGTGTCTGCCACCTGCGAGTCACGTAAGCAAGACCACACACACACACACACACACACATGCGTGTGAGTTGATGTGATTCATTGACGGGCTCATGTCATGGCTGCAGCCACGAGGGTTACATCTGTCCCCGCTGTCGGTCTCTCGTCTGCAATGTGCCGTCCAAATGCCGCGTGAGTGAGTGAGCACATGGCCACACACATGGCTGGCTGGCTGGCTGCCTGGCTGGCTGGCTGCCTGGCTGGCTGGCTGGATGGATGGATGGATGGACCACATGGGCACCGAATGTCTCTGTGTGTGTGTGTGTGTGTGTATGTGTGTGTGTGCGTCTCAGACGTGCACTCTCAACCTGGTCTCGGCGACGGACATCGCGCGGTCGTTTCACCACCTCTTCCCTATGAAGCCCTTCCAGCAGGTCAGTGGGCGGGTGTGTGTCTCTGTGTGTGTTTGTAGCTAGCTAACTCTTGTGTGTGTGTGTGTGTGCAGTGTGAGGAAGGGGGCGTGTGCGTGGGCTGCAGGAGGAAGAACCTCACAAGTAAGGAAGGTGACTGTCTGACTGTCTGTCTGTGAAGTGATTGAGCTCATAGACAGGGAGGGTGCGCCTGTCTTCTGTCTGTCTGCCTTGGCAGTTGCCTTCAGGTGTCCCGATTGCCGGGAGGTCTACTGCAGGTGGGGTGGGCGGGGGCACCAACACTCCACCGTCCAATCCACCGCACAGACAGACCTATTTCTTCATGCGTGTGTGTGTGTGTGTGTGCGGCGTGGCATGGCGTGGGTGTGTGTTGTGCAGCGAATGTCGCGTGTTGGCGGAGGGCACGCTGTTCCACTGCCCCACCTGCACTCTGCTGGAGGACCCCGCCGCACCATCACCACAAGACCATTACACACACAACGGCACTGCTAGCGGCGCTGCAGATGCTGATGGCGACGTCATGATGGACACCAGCTAGCATAGCAAGGACGATTGTATCATTGCAGTGGCCCATCAATCAAAGGATTTATTTGTTGTCTTTCGTGAATGCGTCGCTGTACAGACAGGCCGACGGGCAATGTGTGTGCGGTGGCTGGGGTTGGGGTGGGGGTAGAAAGGGATTGTACAGGCAGACCGGGGCGGGGCGCTCTCTTGCTCTCTCTGTCGGATTCTGTACGTTTGTGCTCCTTCGTTGACTGACTTGCAATGCATTCAATGGTGAGTGTGTGTGCGTGTCGACGTCATTCCATCGACCCCTGCACGCTTGTGCTCACGGCAATGAACGGACGTCGCTACTCATTGTCGCTGCCATCTGAGCGATTCTTGCGGTCCTTCCTGCCACACACACACACATACACACACACATATGGACGGACGGACGGACGGATGCACTTGCATGCCATCACTCGACGCCATAACGTCCGTCCGTACCAGATCTGCGCGACCCTCTGCAGCACTTTGGCGTTCGGGGTGCCGGGCGGCATCTCAGCTCGGACGCTCTCGTAACGCTCCTACAGGCACACGCGCACACACACACACACACACACAAGGATTTCATTGAGTCGCCCACACCTGCAAGCCACAGCACACCCACCCACCTTGACGAATCGGTTGTACGGTGTGGGGACCTTCTCGGCGATGCGGCGGCCGTCCGGATCAAACATGCCCAAGTAACTGCTCGCAGACCAACAGAGAGAGACACCGCACAAACGCACTGCAGGCAGTGCAGTGGTCTCTGTCAGTCAGTGCACTCAAGGTGTATTACTTACACGATCCGCCCGCCGCATTTGCATCGGTATCGGGCGGTGTCGAGGGACTTGGAGTGACGCCCAAACCTGCACACACACACACACATCAGCCACACATCACACACACCGGCACCAGCGTGTCTCATGTGTCCGTCCGTGTGTAGACATCTGTCTGTAATTACATACATTTTGCCGCATGCGGTGCACTGGTACTTGCACTTGTAGTGCACGTCGTAGGAATGGCACGTCTCCACCGGCAGATCGGGGAAGCGACGGGTTGCGATGCGCGCCCTTTCACAGACAGACACACAGACAGACACACAGACGTATGCTGTGTCTCTCTCTCTCTCTCTCTCGTCTCTTCCTGCCCCCCCCTCTCTCTCTCTCTGTGTGTGTGTGTGTGTGTGTGGCCACACCATTTCCAGAAGGCGCGTCCGTGTGGCGGGCGGAATTCCCTCTCAAGCACAAACTGAGCTACGTGGCAGCACTCGTGCAGCAAAGTCTTCTTCAACCTGCAAACATGCACACACGGAGGCACAGAGAGGGAGAGAGATCCGTGTGTTTGTGTGTGTGTGTGTGTGTGTGGCAGGGTGGACCTGTATTCTGAGTCGATGACTTTGGTAGACAGCTGGATGACCGTCTTCATGTCAGCAGCACCAGCAGCACCACCACCACCCTCAGGCCCCCCCAAGATGCGCTTGGCCGACGTGGTGCCTGCTCG